ACTCTAGCTTGTCAGCAGCTTTGCTTGTTATTTATGCTATTTCCCAGATATACTCAGTGTTAAAATCAGTTGTGAATTCAGTTAAAGAATCTTTGCAGAACAGTGCCAAGTCCAAATGAAACCACCGCCAACCTTCCTTCCCTCCTGGTGAGCCTCTTCAGTGAGGAGCTGGATTTGCCACAACCCTGCTGCAGAAATGGCCAGTGAAGGGAGACATCAGGGTGAACTATGCATGAAAGTACGGCACTCCAATCCAAGCCAGAATAGGACTGGCCACATCTGCGAGGGCAGCTAAGCTTAGGAAAAAACAGCAATGTGAAAAGTAATCAGATTCTTCCTCCAAAGAAAGGTGATTTTGTCAGTTTGAGCTCTGTTTTAATAAAAAACTACACCAATAAAATTACTCTCATTGGTAATATAACTGGAGTAGCTTCTGTTGGTCTTCTGAATTCATAGAATCACAAGGTTGGAAAGGACCCACAAGATCATCTAGTCCAACCGTCCTGCCATCACCATTGCCACCACAAGCACTAAACCATATCTCACAGCTCCTCGTCCAGACCCCTCTTGAACACTGCCAGGGACGGCAACTCCACCACCTCCCTGGGCAGCCATTCCAGTGCCTGACCACTCTGAGAGAAAAAGTTCTTCCTTATGGCTAACCTAAACCTCCTGTGATACAACTTGCGGCCATCTCCTCAGGTCCTGTTTATTGCCTGGGAGAAGAGGCAGTTCAAAGCCAGGAAGTGTTTGGAGCTGTTAGTGAGGTGATTTGTTGTGGTCTGGCTCTCTCACTCATGAGTTTTGTTTGGTAGGTGTCTTTAAGTCATGCATGAATCCACTTCAGGTTTTTTTGTTGTTTCTGTTGGTTTTTGAAGCAGATCTTTGCAGTTCTTTTATTTCACTTTTTCCTACAAAAGAAGATACTGAAACATCTGCAAGGATAATCAGAGAGGGCTGGAGGTTTTTGAGCTGCCGATCTTGTAGCGTTTTGGATAGTGCTGTGTTGAGTGTTTATGGAATAAGTTTGCTTTTCTTTGCTTTTTCACAGCCTAATGGTGCAAACAAGGGGAGCTGTGTTCACTTTTAATGTTAACCTACCTGTGGTTGTCTGCTGGGTTTTCCTAGGAGAGTAGTGAATTAATGGAAGTTGGCAGCAAGAGCATAAAGAGAAAGGTAGTATTGGAAGAAAACAATGAATTTAAAGAAACAAGAGCAGGAGTCGAAGCTGTGAGCTTGCCTGGCAGTCTTGCAGTGTACTTTTTGAAGTCCAAAGCTTGCATTGGTACGCCCATCTCTGCCAGAGCCTGGGTGCTTGGTATTGTGCTGCCTTGGTGCTGACATTGTCTCTCAGTATTAGAATCTGAATTCCATGACTTTAATGAGCACCTGAATGGAAACATTTTTTTCCTTCCTGTTCTTTGCTCCCTTTCCCTTTAAAGTCAAAAGCTTGTTAATACAACGTGCAGCAGCACATGCAGTGCTTCTGATTATGTGGAAAATGATTGCTTGGGGAAATCAATGCAAATCTGTGATTGGTGTTCCCAGGAAATAAAACTACCTTTATCTATAGGTGTGTTTTCTTCCTTTCGGCCAGTTCTCTGAATGTTTGTAATAACCAGCAGCCTTAAAATAAAAGCCTAAATATAGTTTCCATTTCCCTTCATACTAGAGGAACGTTAATCTTCTTGAAAGGACTTTGGGTTGGGTTTTGTTTTGGGTTTGGTTTTTATTCATTTTAAAAGGATTTATACAGATATCTTAAATTTAAATCTTACGTATTAGATGAAATCCAGGAGATCTTCATTGCAGTAGATAACAGGAGAAAGGATGCACTGAAATGAATTTCCGTATTTAGCTAGAGGATGAGTATGTAAAACCTACATTTGTACTCCAGTCTAGTTAGTACTTCTTGCTAAGCTGTCATTGAAGGTCTTACATAACTAAGGCTTAGGTTGGGTGGGTGCTTTTCAGCAGAGAGCACATAGTTGCTGTAGCTGAGCAGAAAAATGCTTCATGCAGGTGTGGGAAGTTCTTTGTACAGTGCATCAACAAACAGAGGCATTTTCTTGTTCCTTGTTTATAGCTAGTACATGCATGTGCTTACATCTAGGCTCATTTGTGTCAGGCAAATTGCTGTTAATCTGACACTTGTTCTGCTCTTCTTTCACTTTCTCTAGTGAGTTTATGTGGAAGAAATGCTGTGGCTGTTCTCAGGCTCTCTGACAAACTAATTTCAATGTAAGTAATTATTTGTTTGGTGTTGTCAGTTAAGTGGTGTGCAGCCCACAGGTCTGTGTACGTAAGGAAAAGGAAAATAAATCACAGCACTTAAAAGTTTTCCTTTTCTTTCTTTTCTGGGAAGCTTTTATGTTGTAAGGTTGTCATTTTTATATTCTGGGTCAGATGAAGATGTTAGTTGCTCATCTGTGAGTCAAGCTTACCCATACTTCTTTCTTTCCATAGGCCTATTCTCAGGAAGAATCAGCCACACGAACTGCTGAGGAATCCTCTGTGTGTTACACATTTCTACCATTTTAATCGTGTTTGTTCTGTGCAGGTTTCAGTATTGCATCACCTTGTGTTGAGTAACAGAAGCTCTACTGTTCATTGATCAATGTGACAGTCCCCAGAAGTTTACGAGATGAGCCAAGCCCGTGGGAGATATGACTTCTGCATTGGGCTGGTGTTGGCTATGAGCTCCAGCATCTTTATTGGAGGGAGTTTCATCCTGAAAAAGAAAGGCCTTCTCCGATTAGCAAGGAAGGGCTCCATGAGAGCAGGTAAATGCATGTTTAAGAAGCTTGACAACATTCTGGTTTTACTGCTTAATAGATTACTGAATTTATGATCTCCTTCTTACTGTTAGGTATATGGAACCTAAAATATTTATCCAGTGTGTTTTTGTTGTGTTTTTTTCCCTCTGGTGTCAAATACACCTAACTCAGCATGTGACACATACTGCTTGATTTGCATACAGTGCCCTGTAGGGACACTTACTATAAAACTATTCCTTTTCATGTTAGGTAAGGCTTGAATTCATTTTGCAAATTGATCTTGGAACCAGCACTCTTAACTGTATCTGTGCTCCTAGGAGGGTGGATTTAACTGCATTTGTCAGGAGATGGTGTAGAAAATTCAGAGTCACATGTAATGATATGCTGTAGTGTTGTCTGTTCTCTGGAGCTGCTGAAAGTGTTTGTCTCTCATTGTTGCCTTTTTAAAGCCAGGAACGTTCTAAGCAGTGCTCAGTTCTACTTACGGATTAATATATTACCCACACAAAAAGCTATGTTAATGGACACTTGTATACATTTCCAGCTTTATTCTGTTGAATTGAATTAATATTAAATCACTTTCAGTATAGCCGTTACCATTTTGGGAATCGATTTTTTTTTTTCATCAGTCTGTCAATGTATTGATTGGAACAATAAAATTCTGACCAGCACTACCTAGATTCTTTCTTTTCCTTCTGCTTGTACCTGGGTTTTCTATATGAGGCTCGTGTTTGCAATGTTTAGTAGCAACCAAGTCTGAGTTCTGCCTGTAGCAGGGAGGGATCCAACTTAAGGTCTTAAAGATTTTAAAAGCCACTTCCCCACACCTCAATGGCTGTAAAGGAGATGAGGGATTGTTACAGTACGTTGGAGCTGTAATAGAATATTGGTTTGAGAGCAGCATGCAATGAGCATGCAGATAGTTGCAGAATCCTTAGATCGTTCAGAAAGCTGAATCTGAATATTTGTAATTCAGTGGCAGTCCTGTCTGCTTTTGAAAGATGATTGATTCTGTGTGAGATACACAATTCATTTTGCCTGGTTTGGAATGGGGAAGTATGACTGCATTTCACACTGACGTATGTAGTTGATTGTCTAAGCCACACCTGATTTCCAGAGTGTTTTTCTGAGATGTGTAACTTGGCTTTTTGTGTTGTTACAGTGAGTTGAAAGAACTGTTTTTCATTGTAAAGCCAGTAAGATCATCACTGCCACTTCTAACAAAAAGGAAATAAATAATCAGTTTTCAAAGCAGGCTGTAAGAAGCATCTGCACGTCAGTGCTTCACAATGATTTCAGTTCCTCTAGCTCAAGAGACCATATAAAAAAGACAGTAAAGACTGCCTGTATTTTTAAGAGCAAACAAAAATGTTTTGGCAGTGTTATTAGTGACAGAGCTAGCTGTTTGTTGATCTGTATTTTTAATGGAGTAACAAACACTCTTTCAGGTCAAGGTGGTCATGCATACCTTAAGGAGTGGCTGTGGTGGGCTGGACTTCTTTCAAGTAAGTAACTGTGACTTAATGTATGCTGTAGCCTGTGTTTTGCCTTGTAGCCTGGCACTGCAGATTCTTCCGTGCGAAAGTTCATGATTCCAGTTAGCAGGCTGGGGAGATACAACATGGACACCAAAGTAAAGCACCTCTTCTAATTTGGCAGAATTAATTTTAGGGCCTGTTGTAGTTCCCCAGCCTGTTTTGTGTTAAAAATAGCAGTGGACGCTTTGTGTTCTACAAGTAGTGTTAGCCCAACACCACCATTAGGTTTTTCCCTTGTTCCCTTACTGCATGTTCATGTGTGCAAGAAGATTTGCATGGATTCACACGTTTGTTGCATAAGACACCCTAACCTCTTTTTTGTTATCATTACTACTCTGCAGTGGGAGCGGGAGAAGTAGCTAACTTTGCTGCCTATGCTTTTGCACCAGCTACATTAGTGACTCCTCTAGGAGCTCTCAGTGTTCTTGTAAGGTAAGAAATACTAACAGAAAGCAATGTGATTGCAGAGAGTGAAGCTAAATATTTGTAAGTGCCTGAGATATGCTGTAGTAAATGTGGTTTGTTCTTAACTATAAATGAAGAGCAGTTATAAACGTCAGAAGTAACTTGAAGTTTCTCCAAATTCCAAGTGACTGCTTTAAAATGGTTCTGGCAGTTTGCACCTCAATATGTGAAAAACTGTTGCCTTCTCCATTTTAAAAACACATTGTATACAACACAGGAGTATTTTCAAGATTTTTGTCTTTTTAAAAATGATTTTTACAAGTGCCTCAACACAGAGTTCAGGGGAGGCAGCATAAAAAGGTGCTGCAAAATCCTACAAGTTAGTTCTGCCTGCAGCAAGTATCCTGATAGTGACATAGTTGATTTTCTATTTTGAATAAAAGCTTAACCAGTGGAATTGCTGTAAGTAATTTATGGCTATTAGAGGTGTTCCTGCTCACCAAAAAGTGCACATCATGTATGTAACTGGCATGTATGGTCAAATCAAGCTGTAAGTCGGTGAGCAAATAAATATTACTGATTGCATGTTTTGTTCATTTTTTCTTCTTTCTAGTGCCATTTTGTCATCCTTCTTTTTAAATGAAAAACTTAATCTACATGGAAAAATAGGGTGTTTGCTAAGTATACTTGGATCAACCGTGATGGTAATTCATGCTCCACAAGAGGAAGAAGTAGAAACTTTAGATGAAATGTCCAACAAACTCCGTGATCCAGGTAAGAAAAATGCTGGCTTGATTTCTAAGTAGTTAATACAGAAAGATGTGTACTTACTCCTCTCTAAGCAGAGAGTTTTATTACCACCCTCAGATACCACAAAGGTGTCCTGTGTCTGCTTCATGTTGTCACAGCGGAGTAGAGATTTAGGTTCTGCAGTGTGATTCCATAGAGAGTCTTCAGGCTGACAGAGTGGTAAATGTAATGTGCCCAAGTTTCATTATTTTAGCAAGGTCACACTAAAATCATTTTAACTTCAGTGTTGGTGGAGTAACGAGAAACTTGCTGTCTTTTCTATTCAAGCTGAGTCAGTCGCCTTATTAGTGTGCTTTTTCTTGTTACCCTTAAGGTGTTTGATAGAATACATAAATAACAAGATGCCTTTTCTCCCCACACACAGGTTTTGTGGTCTTTGCAACAGTTGTTGTCATTGTGTCTTTAATTCTAATAGTCGTGGTGGGGCCTCGCCATGGACAGACCAACATCCTTGTGTACATCACAATTTGCTCTGTGATCGGAGCATTATCAGTCTCCTGTGTAAAAGGCCTGGGCATTGCTATCAAGGAACTTTTTGCAGGAAAGCCAGTGCTGAAACGTCCCTTGTCTTGGATTCTGCTGCTAAGCCTTACCGTCTGTGTGAGCACGCAGATCAACTACTTGAACAGGGCTCTGGATATATTCAACACTTCAATAGTGACTCCAATCTACTACGTAATCTTTACGACGTCCGTTTTAACTTGTTCTGCTATCCTGTTCAAGGAATGGCAGCACATGGCGGCTGATGATATTACTGGCACCTTCAGTGGCTTCCTTACTATCATCGTGGGGATCTTTTTATTGCATGCCTTCAAAGATGTTAACTTCACCCTAGCAAATTTGCCCGTTTCCTTGCGGAAAGATGACAGAGCAGCAAATGGGTCTTTGCTGAGCACGTATGACTGCTTTAATCACGATGAAGAAAGTTCTACCTGCCTAAGTGAAATACAATCCACAGAGAGTCTCTCAGCCAGGAGAAATGGAAGTCTGTCAGCCTTCTGAAAACACCTACTTGTTAAATAAGAGAAGAACAATTCTGTAACTCTGGATTTATTTCTTTTTCCTGCTGTGAAATGTCTGAGCTTGTCTGGAACCTCATGTACTTCTTAACAGTGTGGGTAGACAATCTTTAAGTTCGGTTAGTTTGGATCACAAACACTGAAGGGGGTTTTAATTTGCCTTATTTTTACTTTACAAAAATACTAAAATGACCTCAGACCACAGCTGGTGTTGTTGCTTAAGTTATGTAAATACTTTCCCTCTTCCGTTTCAAGATGTATTGCACTAATGACAATTTTATCCAAAATAAATGGCTTTATTTCTGCATTGGTGGTAAACGGATTGCAGTGGGCCTGAATCCTTTGTACTTATTGTGCCCCAAATGACTGCTGAATGGCTGTAACATCTTATCACAGTGGGAGCTGTCCCAGCCTTTGGCAGAAGAAAGCTATAACCAAGCAGCAGTAATCCTTTGAAAGTCCTACTTACCTAAAGCTTTGTTAGACCTGGAGGATTTACATCAACAAACCAACCCTAATCACAGAACTGTAGTTCTGCTTGCAGTAATGCAGTTGCTGCCTCTGTCAGTACTTCAGGAAGTGGATTAGAAAAAAAACAAATCCAAAATGTCACTGCTTAAACAGTGTTCTGGTGGTAAATTTTTTTTAAGCAAGTTCACAAAGGCAGAAAATAAGTATTAGTGATGTAGTTTTATAACAACATTCCTCCTATAGATGGGGAAGGCTAGAGCCAACTGTTTACTGTTCTCATTTTGTCAGTTTCAGTGCTTAATGTTGAAGAGTACAGTTTATTACCAGGACAGAAATCAAGCACCTACCACCTGTGAAACTGACTCTGCTGCCTTCCTTTTCGTATGTGGAAGAGACACCAGGATGTCAAACAAGAAAAAAGGTCCTTGAAATTCTGAGTGAAGAACAGGATTTGAATTTCTGTCTGGTTTTAAGAAGCATCACATCTCTACTGTTCAGGTACAGAGCACAGCTCCCTCCAAAGACCCTAAAAACTGCAGGTTGTGCAGCAGTAGCACCAGACTGCTGACTGCCACTTCTAGTACCAAAACACCAGCCTGACTCAGGCTAAAATTTCATGTAACATTTTACTTTATACTGTAATAGATGCTTTGGATTCCAGATCCCTGGTGTTAGATAATTTAAAATAAGACAGTTATGCCTTTTGTGTGCTTTCTTTTTCCCCTTTAAGGCGAGCAATTATACTAAGTGCAGAAGGTGGTGGATTTTTTTTTTTAAACACTTAAATCTGGTTGACGAAATAATAAGCCACCTTTGAAAGTGTGAAACTAACAGAGAAGTAATGTCTGAAAACATATTCATCGAAGGGAAAATGTCATCCTAAATCCACACTAATGCTACTATTTCTAACATGTTAGAGATCAGTCCACCTAATGCTGCTAGTTAACCAGTGAGAATTATAATTTACTTTAATTACACCATAAATAATTATTTTTACGGAGTTCTTAAGCCAAAAACCAAGCTCTATTACTTAACTGCTTATGTAGCACAGGGCCAAGATGAAGCCTCGGGTATGTGAGACTTGGCTCTAAACCACTAATGATCTCAGGAAATTAAGCATTTCTTCAATTCCTTAATTGAAGCCTGAAGCAGAGGGGAATGTGTGACTGACTAGAAGGCTTCCTGGCACTCCACTGTGAGGAAATAACGGTTGTCTTTAAGAAACATTTCTTTATCTAGTAGAAGAAATGCTTGAATCAAGGACAAGCATCTCCCACACACCATGGCAGCCATGTGTGTCTGCTTGCCAGAACAGTGGCTCTCAAGCACTGACAGTCTGGGAAAACCTGCATCAAAGTAAATTTACTTGCAGACTGCCTGGCAAATCTCTATCTTCTGTTTTGTGAGGAATTTTAGCTCATTTTTTTCTCCTTCCTCAAGGAGAAACAAGAACTCCTTATCACTTGTAAACATGTTTCTATCTCCAACCAAAATACAAGCTGGGAAAGAAGCTCTTACGAGGAAAAAACAGAGATTCCATTCTAATCAGTTAAAGTTCTGCCACTTAGAAATACCAGAAGTACTATCAGCCACCTCCATCTTAAGTAACTGTAGAGCAGTCCCCCTGAGCCAGCCTTCATTTCCACAATTAATGATCACAGAATACTTTTGTGTAGAGAAAGAACAGTCGACTGAAAAAATCAGTTATTCACAAAGCAGCTGCAGAATTCATTGTTTTTTTGTTTTTTTTTTTAATAAAGGCTAATCAAGCAATTAATGCTCTAATACAATTAGGCATTGGTTTCTAAATCTTTCTACAGAGCCCAGTTTCTTAGCCTCCGCAGCTGTTATTTTGATAGCTTGGGGGAATGTTTATTCTGATCCGGTCTGAGATGGCCACCTCAGAAAAGGAATGCAAAGAGGTTGCAAGAACAAACCCTCTACAGCTGCAGGCTTTTAATCAAAGTATATAAAATTTTAGTCTAGAAAAATAAGTATGGATTGTATACAGTTACTGTGCTTGGAGAGTGAAGAGGACAGTGCATCACTCAGATGGCACAGGAGGACTGAAAAGGGCAGATAAAAGGATTTCTTCAACCTGCTGGCATTTTGTTTTTCTCCTTTCCCATACTTTTAGCCTAACCAGGTGCAAAAAGTATCATTAGGGAGGAAATCTAGTTGCTGGCAAGGGACTGGTGAATGGGCGGCTGGAAGCAGCGCACGTGTTCCACGGGTGTGCTCTCTCCATCTCCAGACTTCAGATACTTGTCCAAAATAGCAATTATTTCATCATTCAGAATCTGGAACTTGCGAATTCTTTCAACCATTTTCTTCAAAGGCTGCAAAATGCAAAAAAAACCCAACAATTAGCTCTGGAGATGAAAAGCACCAAATGCTGTGACGTCACCTCATTACAAATGTTCCCCCATTACTGGTCATGCAATCAAGAAATCCAAGGTGCATTCTGGTTTCTGACACTGCAGCTTTTTGTACAAAAAGGGCAATTTACAACTGCCTTCATGTAATCATAATCCAAGTGCAAGCGTAGGAGATGAGCAGCGTTCAGAAAATCCTTACAGCCAAGTAATTACAGCCTTCAGGCTCCAGTATTAGCATCTAATCCTTTGTACTCTCATTTTCAACATTTCATTCCAAAAAGCGATCAGTCCATCTGCAAAGCACCTGAATACAAACAGCTCTGATTTTTTTGTTCGTTCTGGAAAGAACAAATATTTTCAACATACCACATTCTTTATAACCTCATCTTTGCCATCGTGCTTTTGGACTTTCAGCAGGTGGTAGCAGAAATCCAACACGTCAAAGCGACGCTGCTGTCCCAAGAGCACAATGATCATGCAGCCAGCCCAGTGCAGGCCATCTCCAAAGCACTGCCTGAAATAGAAACCAGAACACAAAGAGCCTTCAAAAACAGCTACAGGAAAGGTTTAGGAATCAGCCATTATAATAAAACACATATTAAATAACTCCAGAATATGACAAACATGAATCTAAAAAATACTGTGAAGTCTAGTAGATCAATTTTGCTTTCCAGGTTCCACAAGTGATGCAAATGAATGCTTAATACACACACACACACACAAAAAGGAAGCCTCCACCTTCTGCTTTCCTACAACTTACAGTTAGTTACTTCAAGGACATTTACCCTTTCCCCCACTTCGGCTCTAGCAGCACACATTTCATTTTCAAAGAAAACAAAGGGGGAATTCAGCACTGTCACTCTGCTTTGGGCTGCAGACAGGAAGGGAAGCAAAGGTCATTTCCCCCATAGCTGGTCAGTGAGAAGCACTCGACAGCAGCAGTTTTTCAAAATATGGATATGCACAAGTTACCAAACCCAAGAACCGTATTAACGTGTTAACTTCCAAATGCTCATCCTTGCAGAGAGGAGTCAGATGAGAAAGTACTGGCTAGGGACGCTCGCACACGTCCAGCTATTTTATTTGCATTCAGCTTCTGTAATGGTAAGGCTACCATTGAACAACGTGTGCTAGGGCCTGCTTGTCATGGGATCATTCATTCTACTCTGCCAGCACTTAAAATAGAGGGTCATTTTCTTTAAAGATACAATCATCTCTGTGTTCACGCGTTACGAGCCCCTGCCTGCGATCGCATCGCTCCCCTTGGCTTTGCAGTAAGCAGACACACAAACAAACCCCTCTATTTGGTGCACAAGGAACAAAGGAAGGGCTGTTGGCACAGGTGCCCATACGTACTCCACAGTGAACTCGTGCGTTCCCACGGGGATGCAGTAGACGAACTGCATCGCGCTCCAGAGGCGGTGGAATTCTACACACTCGTCCACGTGCATCACACCATTGCTGGGTAGGGGCCCACGCCAGATGGGATCGTCCAGGAAGGATCGGATCCTCGTCAAGATAACCTCAAACATGGACAGGCCGCAGCAGAGGCGTTCCTTGGTCAGCAAGTCGCCTTCCCTTGCGATTGCTATTTGCTGAGAATGGAAAGTGCAAAATCCCAGTCACACAAAGCACTCAGTTTACAGGCCTTCTTCCACACTGACTTACTTCACACTGAATTACTGAAGGAACTGGGGCTCTTTAGTCTGAGGAAGAGGAGGCTGAGGGGAGACCTTATTGCTCTCTCCCAGTATCTGAAAGGTGCTTACAGTGAGAGCGGGGCTGGTCTCTTCTCACTGGTGACAGGTTACAGGACAAGAGGAAATGGCCTCAAGTTGCACCAGGGTAAGTTTAGGTTGGATATCAGGAAACACTTCTGTACAGAAAGGGTTGTGAAGCACTGGAATAGGCTCCCCTAGGGAGGTGGGTGAGTCACCATCCCTGGATGTGTTTAAAATCTGTTTGGATGTGGTGCTCAGGGACATGATTTAGTGGAGGGTTGTTGGAGTCAGGGTAGTATGGTGAGGTTGTGGTTGGACTTGATGGTCTTTGAGGTCTTTTCCAACCTGAGCAATTCTATGACTCTATAACTTCTAGAAAAGTACCATCCTGAGCTAATAGCACAGCACTGTTCACGTAACTGCTCCAGTTCCCACACTGCGCTCTCCTCTGGAGCACACTGATTGGAAAACATGTAATAGGAGCTTTAAAAAAAATAACAACCATAATTCAGTTTCACTTGGTTTATTCTAGAAGTTTCTCTTGTCCTTGAAGTGAAGTCAGAGTTCAGTTCAGTGAAAAAGCACTCAGAAAAATCTAAGAGCCTTTCCTGTCCTAAGGAAGTTTTAAGGGGTTTTGCTTGCATGGATGGATGCAGAAAGCCAGAAGAGTGCTCAGTGGCCTGCTGCTAGTATGGGCTGTAGCAGCTGCAGCTGCTAGATGAGAAAGCTCCAAAGACAGTAGAAATGGACTCAGATAAAACCAAAAAATGGCAATACCAAGTCAGTGCTTGTCCCACTTACATCATCACACTGCTCTCTTCTGCAGCACAGCAGCATCCACCACCGTGCATTACAATAGAACAGACTGAAGGCTTTGCTTTAGAGCACTCTGCTCTACACAGTTCACATCTCAATGGCTTGTAACCACTACAGTTCACAGAGTATTACTGTGCCCCCACAGTGACAGAATAACAGTGCTGAAGCTACAAAGGCAGTGGAAAAAGAATGTCCTCCTTGGTCATCAGTTTGCCTGGAGAACTCAACTCAAACGACCACTCATTTCTAGTGGTTTTCTAATTTACTGGCTGAAAGAGGAAGAAACTGTTTTAAGAAAATTACATACATTAAAGTGGATCACAGTGAGTGGAATTTGCATTAGCAGCTCACAGCCCGGCCTGTACGCTGAGCATGTATTACGTAGCAACGTACATGAATAATACAATGTTCCTCCAAACCTGTCACCCCCACCCATCTCAAATATTTTAAACTTCTGGGCTACAGAGCTTTACCAAATCCATGGATCTAATACAATTCCTGTCATGTGAGCAAGCTGGGTGTGCGGGTTGAATTCCTGACACAGCTATCTGCGCTGTGTCAAAGAACAGGTTTCTGAGTGCCCAAAAGTGTCCTGAATTGCCTCAGACAGAAATGAGAGCAAGATTACCTGTGGTGTTCCCAGTCTTTCAATGAGAGGGACCAAGTGTAACGGAGCATATTTTGATTCAAGTCTCTTCATTTTAGCATCAAGCCTTTCACCCTCTGAAAGAAAAATAAAAGGAGCATTGATTCATCTGGTTCATTTGATTGATATCTGGCAATTTATTCAGTGCAACAGAAAGCTGAATATGTTTTTATTTTTATAGGCCATTTCAATTCTAAACAGTTGGTTAATCATCAGTGTGGTTTTAGAAAAAACATACGTATTTAAATCGTAGATTGGTACATCCAAACAAAAAAACACCAAGTATTTATAGTGGAATACATTTAATGCATTACTAGATTCAAGACAGAAAGTAAGGCTCTGTTATGCTACTGCTGCTAACATATTTGACTCCCACTTGTACTAACCAACTAAATTGCCTGACTGTAGAAGGTGGGTTATAGTGAGGGTGGAATTCTGTGTATAGTAAGGCTGAAAAAAAGCACTTGGCAGCCCCTTGTCACTGACAAGTAGGAAATATTCTCTGGCAAGCGGGAAATACTGCTTACAATGGTCTAACAAACGGTTTGCTTTATGTACAGAGATGCAAGAATCTGAAAATATTCTCAAAGATTTTTAGCTGATGAGATTTCTCTGAGCAGAACAGATCAACTGCTCTGACAGTGAGAAACAGAGGAAATGAGACAGAAGAGCAGCCTGGAAAGAAGCAGAAGAGCAAGGGGAAAAAAGCTCACTTCCTAACAGTGATGGATAACAAAAGGGGATACTCAAGAAAGCAATCCTACAAACGCTCAGTGTGCATCAATGTAATAGAAAAAAAAAGTAGAAAACAAACGTTTGAAAAGGCTACAGGAACTGCCTGCATTTACTTTATCTGCTCCCAGGCTTCTTATACCTCACTGCGATTGACAGCTATGTACATCAGACAATAGTTTCAGAAAAGCCTCTCACCTTACCCACATTGAGGCATTACTGCTGCCCCAAATACCCCACTCTGTCAGAGTATTCCTCATCTCCCTCTTGTAGATTGCACTGCAACTCGCCACGAATATATTCTTCAGCCAGGCAACCAGGCTTGAATCGGTTACCTCTACCATAAATGTAACAGCAGTGTTGTAAAGGACTGGAAGTGGTCACCAGCAGTGCAGCAGCATGTAAGGAAAGCAGAAAGCATTGCCCAAACGGGGTGTTTTCATTCCGTACCTTTGACATGAACTCTCGGCAGGATGTTTTGGAACGGTGCCGCATGCAACAGGTCACACACTTCCTCTAGGGACTGGAACAAAATGGAAAGGAGGCAGTTAGGAATAAAGAGTCTCCAGACCACACCAGATACAAAAACTGGGCTTCCAAAAGCATGCTGATGCTGGAACAGCAGAGGGCAGCCAGCCTCCGCTGTTAAAGCTGCACACATAACTGCTCTGGTGCTTTCTGCACAGAAATTCTTCCTAAGACTAAATGATTTCACCAGGTTACCTTGGATTGACAAAGCAATCAGCAGCTCTCCTCCCACCCTGAGCTGGCTGTTCTTAAAGGACAGGATATTTATTAAAAAGACTAATTCAGGATGAGTAATTTCGGTGTGAAAGTGGCAGACGGATCCTGAGCAGACAAACAGAACTGTGATGGATGACGCACAGCTCAGCTATTTTTACCAGCACTGCTCCCACAACACATTATCACATTGGGCACGTCTCCCAATAAGGCAGGCTGAGACACCTCCCAGGAGCTGCTTTACTTCTTCAGGGATGTGGGGAAGGAAGAGAGATGCCTCCTGCTTTTTGGTTGCTGTACGTGCAGAGATGACCAGCAGATGACACACAGCTTTGCTGTGTATCTGTCTTTCTTGGAGCAGATGTTCTGCCTATTTGCAGTCCTTGGTGCTAGTATTAGATGTTCAGCAGCCACAGCCCTACCAAGGCCAGGGTACTATGGCTATGTGCCTTTCCTAGCTCTAATCCTCGATGTCAACAACACAAAAATGGACATGCTATGCAGTGAAGATTAACAAGATCCAGCCACTAGCAGAGATGCACCAAAGACCCTAAATTTTGCACTAGTTATGGTAGATGACCACAGTGGAAAAACACTGGAATACAGATAGGACATCAGGGCACCATTGAGAGCAAAACCAAGAGAAGGGGCAGCAAGCAGGGGTGTGTTTCTAGAAAGTGCCTTCAAAGTCATGTCACACTGAACGTGACTCCAGCACTGGCATCACTTCAGTGCACCCTCAGTCAATTCCCCCAGGCAGCAGCAGGGCCTTCACCTCTCTGGCCTCTCACCTCGTGCCCTGTTAACCTGAAGCCCACTCCAAAGCCCAAACTGTGACAGTTACCCCATCACAAGATATGGTTTCACTGCCAGTCAGCTGGCTCTCCCATCACCCACCCATCATCCCTAGGGAGGGATGCTCTAACATTGCACTGGTCTCCTGAGAACAGTGTGCCTTCATTATCTCAGCTAACATTAACAGTTTTAAACACCTGAGAAAAGGACTCTTACATGAGGATTCATGCTTGTGCACAGCAGGCCCCCAGCCAGCTTACTGAGTGAGCTAATGTTGGGCTGGTTGGCAGTCAGCAAAGATCTCTCCTTGATGGACAGCCCAGCCTCAGCGCCTATATGCACAGGTGGGGAATCTCTCCCCACCTAGAATGGGCAACACAGGTAAAGAAAGGGAAAACACCACTCTTATTGCTTTCATTGCTCATAAGCAATGTTCATCTTTCCCTCTGTGAGCACCCAAAAGCATCAAGACCAAGAGATCAGCATAGGAAATTGTTTCTACCTATCTGTCCATCCACAACAGCAATCCTGCAGATTTCAACTTTGTTATTTGTGCCATTAGTAACATAAATTTGAGAGTACATTTGGAGACACAGCAGGGTTTTAAACCAGCACAGCAGGTACCTACCAGGCTCTGCTCAATAAGCAGGCAAAACAGGACAGCATTTCCCACTTCCCGCAAATTCTGGAAACAGACAGTCTTCAGCTCTGCGTATTCAACTATGTCCTTCAGCTGATGATGGAAAAACTCCAAGATACCTGAAATCAACAGAGAAGCAAACGAATGAAAGGAAAAACAATAATCAAAACTCAGGAGCCAGAAAGAAATCTAGCGATGATCACACCAGTGCAGCTCTCCATGTATCAGCACGTGAGGTTGTTTTTAATTTATGGACATGCCTCCTAGACGAAACTGAAAGGAGCAGTATTTAAACATATTAACAATCAGAGGTTAATGTTAAGCCAGTGATGTGTTGAGCATTTCAACTGGATAAACCATGCAGAATGGAGTGCCTACATTCTGCTGGATGGAGCTGCTAAAGTAGGAGGTAAGAGAATGATTTCCAGACGCAGAAAGACAGAGCAGGGCTCTTGTCTGCTATTAGTCCTGTTCCATCCTCTTATTCTTGATTCTATTTCTGTCCCCCAGCCTGCTGCACCACCCAACATGTTCAGTTCACAGCTCTTCTTCCCACAGATGACAGAGCCAGCAAGGAGCAGAGCACTGAAGGGAGCACAGGTGATGTCAAAATAGAGCTGCAAGCACCACAGCCATGCAGACACGATCCATAATCTCTCAAGACAAATACAAAAAAGCCAAGTCAAGCTCTGCTGACAAGGATGCACTACATCCTGGCTGACAAGCACAGTCAGATTGGTTCATCTATCAGGTTTTCAAAAAACTGCTGAAAAACAGCTAAACTGTCATTTTTAAAGCCACACAACTTATAGAATCATCTCAAACCTCTCCAGTAAGGCTTACTGTATTGATGGACTCCGAGCTCCTTCCCCCCTCACTCCAGAGAAAGGCTGTGTCTTCTCCTGGTTTACAAGCAATTTCAGGAAGCCCCTGGGTTCAGGTGGCTCCTGCAGGTCAACAGCACCAAGGCTGAAGAGATACGCAGGGTGGGTGAGGAAGAGTAGAAAACTGCAGTAGGGCAGACAGCTTCCAGGCTCTTTATAACATATTTCCATCAGCATTTTTGCATCTGTTTGCATAAATCTGGCCTTTTCAACCTCAAGAATAGTGATAGAAGAAAACACATAATGCAAAGCTTTTGGATTGTATGCTAGATAAAGCAGTTTCCATTACAATCAGTGAGGAACACAGAGAGCCTCTAGCACCTTCCCACATGCTGCTTGGATGCGGATGGAGAACCCTTCCTATATAGAGGATGAGCCTCCCATATTCACCCAGCAAGGCGACAGCCCAGAGGGAGCACATAACACAAAATATACGCTGGAGCGTATTCATGCCAAGGAAATCCCTCAATTTCAGAAGAGCTTAAGTATTTACAGAGGAGGAAAAAAGAGTATGGCTAACCCACGCGTTTCTACAGAACGTCTCACGCCATTAAATTTAGCAACAGAGAACATCAGTAAAGTGAACAGTAAGGGGAGCCAGAACTGCCTGTGCTACATCTCAAAGATCTGTTTGTCAACAGAAAATGCGCAGTAAAGGAGTGTTCCTCCATGCATTCAGTGAAGAGAGGTTTCAGACTTGAGTAACTTAATGACTGAATAGGAAAACAAAACAGACACCCTAACGGAGGTCATCAGTTGTCATGAATGCTTGCTGACTTTGATGGATTCAAAGAAGAAACTGAAATGTAGCTGAAGGGAATGTTATTGATGTTACATAGACAGCTCTGCAGTGAAATCCTGAGAATAACTGATGTCACCTACAGCAAATGTAAAAAAGGAGGATGACAGCACACAGCGAAACCAAGAGCAGCACAAAGAACAGTGACCAGCAACAAGAAAAACTATTACCTAAACCCATACTGAAAGTGCAACAGAAACCAAATGAAGGCTGTAAGTCCACCCAAAAGCAGCAGGAGCCAGAGAAGCGGGAGGTTCACATCATGAACACCAAGTAACTACAGACCAGTCAGTCTCACCTCTGTGCATGGCAAGATCATGGAGCAGATCCTCCTGAATGCCCAACTGAGACACACAGAAAATAAGGATGAGGTGATTGGTGCTAACCAACATGGCTTCAGCAAGGGCAAGTCACGCCTGACAAATCTGGTAGCCTTCTATGATGGAGTTACGGCATCGGTAGATAAGGAAGAGCAAGTGACCTCACCTACCCCTACTTCTGCAAAGTGTCTGACGCTGTCCTGAATGACATCCTGATTGACAAGTTGGAGAAAAATGGATTCGATGGATGAAGCATTTGCTGGATAAGGAATTGGCTGGCTGGTCACACTCAGAGAGTTGCAGTCAATGGCTCAGTGTCCAAGTGGAGGCCATTGATGAGTGGCGTTCCTCAGGGATCGGTGCCATTTAACATCTTTGTAGGCAACATGGACAGTGAGACTGAGCGCACCCTCAGCAAGTTTGCAGATGACACCAAGCAGAGTGGTGCAGCTGACACGCTAGAGGAAAAGGATGCTATCCAGAGGGGCCTCGACAAGCCTGAGAGGTGAGGGTGGTGTGACACTGAACAAGTTGCCCAGCAAGGTTATGAATGCCCCTGGCCCTCCTGCCCCCTGGCCTGCATTCAAGGCCAGGCTGGATGGGGCTTTGAGCAACCTGGTCTAGAGGGAGCTGTCCCTGCCTATAGCACAGGACTTGAAGTAGATGATCTTAAAGGTCCCTTCTAACCCAAACCATTCTATGATTCATTCTATGAAAATTACACGTTGTCTTCTACAACTGCTCCAAGTTACCGAGTTCCTTTCAAAGTCCTTAACAAAGACTTTTCTTTCCTCCCTGAGAGCTCCCATGGCCATATGCAGATACACAAATGCACACACCCACACACAGGCACTCATGAACAAAATGGTGTCATTATTTTGAGAACCTGACACTCCGTATTTATTACGCAGCTGTTCCAAAAGCCGTATCAACTACCTCCCTTACATGCAGCGCTTGATTTAGGGGTGAAGCAGAGGAAAGTTCACAGAAGTACACAGGCAATTTCTGACGGAACAGAAATGATGCTGGAAGTGCAATCTGCTCCACAGTGGAGACCTGGGGCAGCAGAACATTATCAAGTTTCCATTAATATTTAAACGATGGCGCTCCTGGTTACATCTACTTGTAGTGTACAGCACACAGAAGGGCATTCCTATGAGACTCCATGCGCATAATGAAGCCCTGCAGAAAGACCAACTGTCTTAGTTTCATTTTAATTGCATGCAGCCTCCATCCTTCTCCTAACTCTGTGGGTGCGAGCTGTAAGCAACTGAGTTAACATACATCTTGTATTTCGCAAATTAATCCGTTTGCTCCTTCTTTCCAAGAAAGCAACTTTAACTAAACCTCCCTATTCCTGCAGATGGGATGACGCTGGGAGCAGTAATAATTGGTCGTATAATCCCAGTTTCTGATTTACACAGATAGCAGCCTTGCTTCTGCTGAGATCAAACATCTAGTAAAGCACAGGAGATTAGTAAAGGATTAGGCTCCATCTCAACTGTGCTCAAACAGCAGATGCCAAGTTTCAGCTGTGCAGGCTGTCCACTAATTAATTTAGGAAGTCAGACTAAATCGACACATGGTCAGATTTCTTCACTTTGACCTTCTCTCATTTTCTATAAAACAATTTCAGTTCACACCTAGAGACTCAAATCAAGCATGTTCCAGAGCTTGTAACAAGCCTGGTACCTCAAAGATTATCTATTGGCTATTAATTATAGACCTAAGGTGCTGACTAACAACAAACCTGATCTTGAAAATAACTCTGGATCTACCCACAATATGGCTTATTTTCTGCACAGTGCTGACTTTACAACTGTGAGGTGAAGTCTGCTAATCTGCAGCATCAAAATTGTTCCCAAGAAACCGGGTGATATAATGAACTTTATGCTGATTCCCCTACAGACCTTCAAGTGCTGTCTATGATTATTTCTTTAGTTCAGTAGAGACATCGTTAATTAGTTTTGCATCTCAGCAGTCACACCATTCCTTTAAAAGAAAAAGGAATTCTGATCACAAAGCCTGTGCACTGCTTATTTTGCTAGAAATAAATATCCTATTGGTCTTCGTATCTATTGTGTTGCTCACTGTCCTTTCAAAATCATCTAGGATTTTGTTTTATGTAAACATAACGTACACTTCTGCAGTGTTTTGTCAACAGAGAACCAGGATTACCTTTTTTTCTCATTAAGTACGGACACGTGAAGGGCATTTCCCTCACCACTGCCTCCTGAAGTCTTTCAGTGTCATTTCTCAGCTTCCTTTCTGATTCCAAATCAGACAGAAGGAAATACAATATGGAAAGCTTCTGAAAGTTTGGCTTTGCTGAATTATCTGATATTGGAGCTCAGAAAATGGCCTCCCCTGTGTTTTTCTGCAAGTCCTTCAACAGCACTCCTATCTTTTCCTGCTGTGCATCTCCCCATGTCCCAACATTCTTTTCCGATGGACAAGTTTCAGAAAAATCTATGAATAAATTTCCTCCACGTTCTCCCCCAGGAGAATTCAAGACATGGCCCCCCAGCAAAATTAACCTACCCTTCCACTGATCCAAGTTCAGTCAAAATACCAGGAATACCTGGAAGCATCTGCAGCCTCTCTGCTATGCACCAAGCTATCCTTCCCTTTCACTACTACTGCTCTCTTCCAGCTAAGGCTCCCTCCAGTCCTCATTAGATACTCCAGAAGATGTACAGGGGTACAGGGGGAGACAGTTACCTGCTGGGTTGCTATGTTGAGCAGAAAGGCGCAGCCAGCAGCACAACTGGTCAAAGGAGAGATGGCAGCACAGCTGGCAGCCACCTGGAGCCACAGAGCTGGGGGCTTCTCCCACATGGAGGGCAAACACGTGATCACAAGAGGTCACTGCCTCTTACATGTTGTAACGCACAGTTTGCCTCACAGCAGGCCTCTAAGCCTCATCAAACAGCAGAGCTGAGGAGCTGTTTTCCTTACCACAACCAATGGCATTCCAGAGTGGCCAGGACATGAAATACTTGTTTATGAAAAGAAGGAAAGCTGTATTTAAATTCTAGGAAAACACCAGAAGAAAAATTTTACTTCCAAGATCAAAAGTCAAGTTCAGACTTTTACAAACTATTATTCCTTTCAAGAGCTTCAGAGACATTAACAGGTCCCTTCAAGAATCCTTACACTTGATGTATTTTTAGACAAATATTTTTATGACTACAAGATGAGCCAGTTCCCCACTGCTGTAAGATTGTTTCTATGGAAACAAATCCATTGGTGAGCAGGAGTCCTGAACAATTCTAATGCCACTGTCTGTACTCTGCTCCTTTTAGCAAGAATAAACCTCTTCAGAAATCCACAGGTCCAGAGGGCTGATCACGTAGAGCTCCCAGAACTGCAATCAGCGGAGTTCAAATAAAGCTCTCCATCAAAGTTTGGAGCACATGAAATAGCTGGAGACTTACTGAGCAAACTTAAATTGCTTTGCTCGTGGAGAATGGACTCAGGAAGTTAATTCTAAATTGATGAACTAATGTTACATCAAGGCAGATGAGAGTCTGTGTACCTAATCCATAAATTGGAGTCATAGCTTTGGTCTTTATGTGTAGGCAGCGGTAGGTACAAAGAAGTGATTAAATGAGTTAGGGATGAAAAGCAGCATACAAACATGTTCTGTAAGATGCAAACTTACTACTACAACTACTGAACACTGCTTCTGCAGCAGGCTGCCAGAGGCAGAGAAGGCAAGAGACAGCAGTTGGCATGCACTTGCTTGCATTTTCAGTGTGAGCCAAGTGAATAAGGTGAACAAGTGGCAGAAACCATACAGAGATTTTAGCAGAGAAGAGAGGACAGTTTTTGAATCAAACGTGGGTTGAGCCTTTTCTTTCCATACTATGACAATTCCTCTTGGCATGCCAGACTGGGGCTAAAATCTACAGCAGGTTGCCATCACAGAGAACATTTTCCGTCACCAATCAGACACGCTCCAAGGGCAGGCAGCTCATGATGGAAGGGCTCCAGAGGCAGCAGTGCAATTCTTCAGTTATGCTACAGTCAGATGAAAACCCCCGGAGTTTCCACACATGTTTTTTGTTTAGTGGCTTCAGTAAGAACACACAGAAAAGCTGTGACTGTGCTACAAAGACTGCCTCTGCCGCTTCTTGGAAGAAGTTATCAAGTGTTCTTTGCTAGAAATATTTCAGCACAGAAAAATACCCATCGAGACAAAATCAGCCTGTGCACCAGCCACAGACATGCTTAGGGGACAGAATCAAGTGGGTTTTTTGAGATCCATTCCAATTCGAGTTGCTGTCTTCTACCGTAACATGAAGAACTCTGATATCTCAGGACAGCAGGAATCCAATCATAGAGGATTTCTTTTCAAGTAGTAATTATGAGGTCGAAGTTGTTAGCGTTCTCTAGAAAACCAGAATGTTAAGAAGATTTTAAAAGGTTTAGGTCCTGCAGCAAGAGTAGATAATCTCTGTGAATAGCTGCACAAGTAATGTTTTGCCTTTCTTACAGGATAGATTGCCTTTTTATCTCAGGAGAAAGTTTCTGTTTAGGTCCCTAATACTTCTTAAAGTTGAGGATTTCTGGCAGAGAACACAGGCTTCCTAACCTCACCTGCAGCTCACCTCAAGCCTCAGTGATGCAGACTCTGTATCTGAGAATACATGCTATTGTGGCCAGGACTTAATGAGTGGCTAAAATTCTCAGAAAGATTATTTTTAAGCTGCTAAGTACCATGAGTCATCCATTTCTATGCTCCAGGGAGAAAAACAGGAAGGAAACACTTAGTGAGTCCTCGATTTCGTTTAACATTGGTAATGAGCGTCAAGCAAGCTGTGGGAAGCAGAAAAAACAACCTTACTCCATTTGGAGTGGCATTTAATAAACCTGAAGAACTCTGAAATAATAAAGATATGCTCAGAAGGTGGGTGGCACATGGAAAGATTAAAAGATTAATTTGTGTTAATTAGATATTGTGGAGGAGGAATATTTTGAAGGGGGAAGCAGTTTCAAAATTTCAGAGAACAATGTGATAAATACTAATTAGCCAATTATTTCCCCACAGGGGCATGTAACTTTCAAAGACGTTTCTTCTCCAACTGTTATACTTCCTGCTAAGAGGCCGAGGTGCTCCCTGCACAACCTTCTGACACAACTGCTCTGTCAGGACCAGTCTGCCCCTCAGCAGTAACGTTTCTTTTACCTTACATTTCATAAGGGCAAAGCAAGAGGAAATGAAGGCTTTCCTGGAGAGTCAGGATTATCTAAATGAGACATTTTAACAGCACTGGTACAAAGGGCTAACTTGCAGAGGGAAAGCTCAACGTGCTTGAGATAAAGAGCAGAATGAGAAACTATAGTGAGTATCCCAGCTCAAGGTAATCGTGTCATAAAGCTATCTATAGACAGACTGCCATCCTTTCATTTTCCCTAAGGACTGAAGTTGTAAAACACCATCTAATCCTTTATTAAGTATTTTCAGAAAGCTCAGCCCTTAACGATACTTGCTATGAAAAAAATGACTAAGTTCTGTTTAATGGGACAGAGAAGAGAGGGAGAGACAGACAGAGGTACAAATAATCCAGAAGACAGTAATTAGTATCATTTTATTAAGTTTATAGTAACATCAAAAGTGAACTAACCTGGAGAACCATACTCGTGTCTTGGCAACCTACAGATCTTAGGCATCACCTCCATCAGGGTCTTGACATACTGAAGAATTGTCCCTTGTAACTAAGAGAAAAGAGGCACTTGTTAATGTGTTACTAGAGAAAAACAAAAATTGTGTTCAAGCCACATACAGACTGAACGTGGTCTTGAATTTAGCCCTGTGCCAGCCATCATCTTCAAAAAAGGTCACTCTTTCAAATGAGTACAGCTGCATTTTCCTTCACATGGTATTAGCTGCTTTTTGCTACAGGAAGAATAGCTCGACAGCTAAAGCCAGGAAGGAAAAAAAAAGTACAGGAAATCACCAACTTTTCTTATAGCCAGCCTTGACTGTCCAACCAACTTTTTGATGTTAGTAAACAAGTTCATCAGAATGTTTTCAAAAGCAGCAAAAGAATAATGCTTAGTATGCTTAGTATGAGGCATGTCTCTAACAGCTTCAACTGGCTATTCTAGGCACACCAGTTAAGACACAGCTCCAGTCCATAGTCATACCTTCCTGCCATAGACACCTATCTCCCAACATCTGAGCATTCAGATCACGCATCCCCCCACCTTGAGGCTTTTCAGCCACCTTTACTAATGCTTACTTGTTCTATGCTGCCTTTAATAAATTGAGGTGATCTGCAAAAAGTAAAAATAATCCCCCTCAAAACAGTTAACCAACACTCAGCTCCAAAGCATGAAAATTACGTTTCCATCTTTCCCTGAAGATTATACCATAGAATCATATAGAATCACAGAATTGTAGATGGCCTGGGTTGAAAAGGACCACAACGATCACCTGGTTTCAACCCCCCTGCTATGTGTGAGGTCGCCAACCACCAGACCAGGCTGCCCAGAGCCACATCCAGCCTGGCCTTGAATGCCTCCAGGGATGGGGCATCCACAGCCTCCTTGGGCAACCTGTTCCTGTGTGTCACCACCCTCTGTGTGAAAAACTTCCTCCTAATATCCAAACTAAACCTTCCCTGTCTCTGTTTAAAACCATTCCCCCCGGCCCTATCACTATCTACACTTTACCCCCAGCATTCCTTCAAACAGGCTCCATCTTTTCAGACATTTCAAAAACATACTTAGAACATTGTTGGAATGACAATAAACAATTTGTCAACTGCCTGAAGTGAGCTTATGAATAGTACAGCTATGCACCTGTTACATTTGGACTAAGTTGGCAGCATGCTCCTTACAGAAACATGAGCTGGAGAGGGAAAAAACACTCCTGTAGCTTAAACTTACTAGCAACACATTATGATTGTATGCAAAGGTGTTCATACAGTAAACAAACAGCCTCTCAACTCCTAGTTCCAAAAAAGGTTGTTTCCAGTACTAGTATCCATAGGCTGTATGGGTAACTCCTCCAACATCTGATGGTCTGAGCACTCCTCTGAATAGGCCTGATGCTACCCACTTCTAGATAAAAGCACTGAGATTAAGCCCTCCTTGTGATTAAGGCTCATCCATCAGTGACATTATTAATCAAAGCCCTGAAGTCACAGAAGGCAGAAAGCACACTCCAGCTGCTTTAAAGCATTCTGAGAGAGTAAATTTATGGTACATTTTTTAGTTTCAACCAACTCAATGGAAACATTTATACTTTTCCAGAGTTTATCTAGGACCCAGCAGCATAGATCTCCACAAATTGAATTAATCCCCAAAGCAGAATTCAAGATTTTCAAAACACTGCTCAGCTTCCCAAGGTATATCTTCTATTGCTTTCACGAGACACCAGGCATTCCCAAATACAGCTTGTACTGAATTTCAGTGGGTGTAACATTTTAATTTAAGCTGAAATCTTAGTTTCCTTAGACATCCTACTTCCATTTTATTTTTCTTAAGATATTTCCTACCAGAAGCTATTTGGAATAGCAAAACTGACAGACAATGGCATACCAGGCTCTTGACGACTTTCAGCAGTTCCTCCATCACCACAGCAATCCCCTGATAGCCAAGAAGCCTACAGATGACTTTAAAGTGAGGGGGGCCAACAAAATTCCTATAGTTGCTGTAGATGCTTGAATATGCCAGATTCAATGCCTGAAATGAGGAAAAACAGATTGTATTAAATGAAAAATCTAAGCTGACTGCATCTTACAAATAATCTCATTTAAACACCACTTTGTAGAGTATTAAGAACAACGTAAATCTTGTATCTCACTCTCTATCCAGAAAGTTAAAATATAAAGCTTCATTTTTGGAAGGCAGGAACTCTCTTGCTAAGCAAGAAAAGCTCATAAGAAGTAAAAAGAACAAAAAAGTATTTACTCACCAGACATTTTTCACTTGACATTTATAAAGTCACAAACATTACCTCATGTATTTTTCTGTTTACACAAGTAGAAAAGGATGATGGGTGCATGAATTTGAAGCACAATTTCTATTCCTACGCAGTCCATTTTATGTACAACACATCTTAAAAGAAGTGACTTCAATTTTCAGCTCACAATAGGTGTTGTAAACCTCTGTAAGAGGACCCCCTTACAGAAAACAGCCTTTTGCAGTTACTGCTCTCTCTAGCTAATTAATAAGGATCTCTTTTCTGCAACCCCCCCTAGATGCACACAAGATTAAAGCAAATCCAAGTCTGGGATGCACCCTCACAAAAATTCTTTTGGAGTTTATAAAGAAACACAGGATCAAGTTAGAAGGGACTCTTAAAGGTCACCTAGTCCAACTCCCCTGCAATGAACAGAGACACACCTACAGCTACATCAGGTCACTCAGAGCCCTGACCAGTCTGACCCTGAGTGCCTCCACGGATGGGGCATCCACCACCTATCTGGGCAACCTGTGTCAGTATCTCATAACTCTTACTGCAAAAAACTTCCTTATATCAAACCTAAATATCCCAGCTTTTGGTTTGAAACCATTTCCTCTTGTCCTGTCACCACAGACCCTCCTAAAGAGTCTGCCCTTTTCTTTCTCAAGCCCCCCTTTAGATACTGAAAGGCTGTGCTCAGCTCACCAGGCTGAACAGCCCCAGCTCTCTCAGCCTGTTCTTGGAGGAGAGGTGTTCCATCCTTGGGTCATTTTTGCAGTCCTCTGGACACGCTCCAACAGCTCCATGTCTATCCTGTACCGAGGATTCCACATCAGGATGTGGTACTCCAGATGAGGCCTCCCCAGCTCAGAGCAGAGAGGCAGGATCACCTCCCTCACCCTGCCAGTCACTCTTCTTCTGATGCAGCCCACAATTTGGTCGGCTTTCTGTGCTGACTTACGTCCAGCTTCCCATCCACCAGTATCCCATGCTTTTCAGCAAGGCTGTGCTCTATCCTTACATTCCACAGCCTGTACTGGTAGTGGAGATCAGGGCCTTGGCTACATCAAAGAGTAAGCAGAAATATACAAACGGATGCTGGATAGGGATTTAGAAAATGTTTGCTAAAGCTATGGATCAAACGGGAGTTGGCCAACTTCACCTGGGGTGCAGCAGAGGACCACAAAGAGAATTAAGGGCTACAGCATCTGTTCTACAAGGAAAGATGGAGCTAGGTTTGCCAGCCTGGAGAGAAGGCGGATCCTGTCCATGTGTAAATGTACTTGGTGGGGAAGTAAGGGAGCTGGACTCAGCTCAGACGTGCTCAGCACCAGGACAACAGGGCACAAACAGGAAACTCCAGTTAAACACATTATTACTGGAAGAGTGGTCAAACAGGGAGGCTGTGCAGTCTCTGTCCTTGAAGATGTTCAAGGCTGCAGCCCTGAGCAACTCACTAGAGGCGGCCCTGCCATGGCTGACAGCCGACGTGTCTTCTGCCACCCTGTGAAGACAATGTTAATTCCAAACTCTCAGCGACTGAACAGCACGAAGCTGCAGTCCCTCATGTACAACAAACCTATCTGTGCAGATTTCTGCTCACACTGAGAGGATCTGGGACACTGAAGAGGATGAGAACTGGTAAAACATTAAGTGTGCAGACAAATGTCCCAACATATGAAACATTTTATAGAGTCATCCCAAAAAGGAAAGACTCCTTTTCTTTCTCCTGATGTTCCCAATCAGGTAAATCTACACATTAAACACGTCCAAAGTATTTCAGCCACAGCACAAAGAGAATTTTCCTTCACTGGCTTAAAGCATCCCACTGCCACCAGCTCTCTCGTATGCTGGTTAGAAGGGAGCTCCCTTCATACAGCAGAAATCTGTCACAGAAAGGCAAGCCCTAAAAACACGGTTTCATTATAAATAACTCACCAATGCATACCAGTAAGTCTGCCAATCTAATAATACACCGTTTTCCAAGTAACCTTTGCAGAGAAGCACCTGACATAATCTACCTGTAAGCACAGGATCCAGCAGTAAGTGAAGCAGGACCGAGGATTTAGAAAACCCCATCACACAGCATTGCTGCTTTCCCCCCATGGTGCACTAAACCATAAAACACCGAGGGAAAATGCCACTAACACAGAGGGAGGGGAAGGTAGAGAGAGGGAGCTTACGTTTGTTCAGCTACGCCTTGCTCCCTCCCCTCCTGAAAGTGAACAAAACAACAACAAAAAAAAGAGTTGCTGGTTGCTGATGTCATCCAAGAGCTAACATAAATCACTCACAGCACCACCAGTACAGGCACAGGAGCATGTAACAGGGATGTGCAGGCAGCGTGCTGCCCAATGTGAGGCAAGCAAGGGAGAGAGGGGAAAGGACATGATTTTTTTCCTCTATGTTCTTTGAAAACCAAGGCAACAGCACCTTTAGACAAGATGTGGCCCTGCCTGAATTTAAGTAGAAGAGACAAAGAAACCATGCACCAGCAGTGCCGTGAGGAAAAAGACAGGAGCGAGCAGTGAGAACTCAGTCCCAGGAATCTGAAGGGAAGAGAAAGCAAACTGGCAACAGAGAGCATGAAGCTCCAGTAGCTCCTGATGAAAACGATGCAGAACGTTTGGTGCCTGTTCATTCATTTCCTCGGCATCACCACCCGACAGTCCTGGTCTGACATTTCTCCCAGGAGGCAATGGTAAGTACTGACTTCAAAAACACCAGATGTGCTTTCCAAACATTTACTTGTCCTAATTACGCATCTTATAACAAATGATGTGTTATAACGACAGAAAAAAATAGTATTATTGTTATTTAGTAAAGCACCAAATACTCTACTTAAAAAATGCTGTGATGAATAAATGTTTCTAGACAGTATTAGGAAGTGTTCTATAAAAAATAATTACATTTTTAAATAATTGGGATTCACCAGCTAGAAAGGAGACAATTGAACAAGGAAAAGGTCTGCTCCTACCAATGCTCAGAAGTCAGTTACATGTCAAAATGTGTCTCTCTGTTAAGCTTATCTGATAGAAAACTCAGTTCCTTTATCCGGCTGCTGTACTGAAAAGAGTGCACTTAACTTGATCAGGAAGGCAGCACCATGCCATCACAGAAACATTAAGGCTGGAGAAGACCTCTATGATCCCCCAGTCCAACCATCAGCCCATCCCCACCATGCCCACTGACTACATCCCTCAGTGCCACATCCACACGGTTCTGGAACACCTTCAGGGACGGTGACTGCACCACCTCCCTGGGCAGCCTGTGCCACTGCATCACCGCCCTTCCTGACCAGACTTTGCATAGGAAAGAATATTAGCAATTAAAAAAATAAAATAAAATAAAAAAGCACTACAATGATAAAAGCTGTATTTCAGCAACTAAACCCAGCTTGAGAAAGCTCTTCTGGAGTGCACCAGGGCTAAGCACCGCGACTGATGGCAACAGTGTGCGGCCATCACAGCAGCTGCCTTAGCTGCGGATAGAGAGGTGCAAACTCACCAGCAGGAAAGGAGAACAGCAGGGAACATGCAGTTAATGTAAAACACGATGGGAGACAAAAATACTGGCTGGTGACAGCTCTGCATGCTGTTTTGTTTTCAGTTAGCCATGACTGGAAGAAATCAAAGACTTGTGGGTGGCGGAGGAATTTATCACTCAATTGCCACTCTTACCATCCCTTGCCAAGTAAGAAAATCAGTTGCTCACGAATTGGATAACAGAAATCACCATATAAGTAGAATAAAATGCTAGATACTCAGAGAGAAAAACAAATGCTGCATTTCTTAAAACAAAACAAAAAACAATACATACAAAACCAACCCAAACCCCACTTATCAACACACTCATCAGGCAAGAAGTAACTGCAACAGGTAAGCAATTCATTAGTTGGGTGGTTCATCTGGCTGTCTTCAGTCTAATGCCAATTCAGACAAGAATTTCAGTTTGATTTAAGGTTCAACATTACTTTTTCGTAACAGTGTCCCTTAACATAAGATTAAGCTATGTACAAAGATTTTTTTCCTAACAGAAATGCTTGGTTTACTAACCAGATTACTCCAGTACTGTTCCAGAGAAGAGATGTATTAATGCATTAGTTTAAACTTCTGATCATTCACTTTTTCCCTGTTGGATGGCTGCATCTTTCACAACTGTAAAGGATGTTTTCAATCTTGAGAAGTTTTTATTTTACCTCATGTCACCTGAATACAAACTCCTCTGGCCAAAATACCCACAGACTTGATTCTAAAGACTGTATCACATTTATGCGCCTAAAAGAGAGCAGGCAAATTCTGAATGGGATACTGAGGGCTATTACCCCTTGGCTCCGTGTTATGAGGGCACAGTAAAATGAAAATCCCTTTGGAAGAAAGTGGCTCCCCAGAGCCAAACCCAGTAGAACACACCATCTCTCAGAGACAAGATGCAGCTGGTCACGTGGACAGGCAGCAGCAATGGCTGAAATAATACAGGCACATATTTAGCCTTTAACCTGGCGAAGAACTATGTAGTTTAAAACTAAGAGCATTGTTTCCTAACAAATTCCTTCTTTGAATTACAGAGTGCTATGATCCCCACAGCATCCCCTGTGCTGCAGCATCTCAGCTGCCATTCTGGGAAGCAATAATTCCTTTGGGAAGGGGGATCACTGCTGGCAAAGCCAATACATCACAGCAACACCGCAATGGGAATAACTGTCCAGAACATCACAGGGAACACAGCGATGGTGATTTGGCCCAGAATGGCCAGCTGTGCCGACAGCTTTTACAGT